GTTTCACCCGCTGTCTCGAGAGGCCGGGACACGGTGAGGGGAGGGGGGCACAGTTAGAATCACCTGAGCCATTTCACACTGTGCATCAAAGAGATTCCTATGAAGGGTGCAATCCGTGGAAATCCGGTGGTGGTCACAGTGGGGTGGGTGGAAGGTTTTAGTAAAGAGGGCGTGGTACAAAAATGGAAGCAAGTGGTTAATCCGAGCTCTCTGAAGCTTCAGGAGCACGTGCCTCACTCACCTGCCTTTATTTTAATGTCTCTCATGGTGGTGGCTATGGTGGTGTGGGATGACTGCACTTACTCTCCTCTGAAGTTTTGGAGGAAATATAAGATATAAAGAAAAAAAATTACAGCAATGATTTGCGAGCCAGACTCGCTAGTCAATGGACTACAAGGCCAGGTCTCTGCCTGTGAAGTTTCCCTTTTCCGTGGTTCATCTTCATAGAGTCAGAACTCTAGAGTCCTTAGCACTTGGGGTGCAGAGAGATCTCAGGAGGTGCTGTGCTCAGAACTTGCTTCCCTTGGGCAGCTAATGTGTTAGCTGAGTTCCAGCCCGCCTGATCCCCGGAAGGACAAAGGATCAGCAATGCCAGAGCCAATGCTTCTAAATTCACTCAGAACCTTCCACGGCAGGGGGAAAGGGCCCCCCACTAGTGCTGGTTCTGTGCCAGCTGCATGGAGTCCCCATGGGAGACATTCCACACCTGTGCCCTTACCTCCTCACTAACAGAGTGAGGTGTAACTGTTCCCTATTGGCAGTTGAGGAAACTATTGTTCAGAAACTGTAAGCAATTTACCCATACACATGCAACTAAAAAAAAAAACAAAAAAAACAAACTGGTGTTAACGTCCACTCTGTGATCCTGAGAAGCCCACACAGTCACACTCCCGCCCATGGGTCCATCTTGTCTCAGGGCCTTGTCTCTGGGATTCTTGCTGTCTGTATCTTCGAGGAGGGACAGAGACGAAGTATGTGAACTCATGACTCAGACCGGCGGGGATGAAATCCTAGATCTAGCTGGGTGGTATGGTACAAGGGACTTATTTAATAGTAGCTCATGTCCTCATCTATAAAGTGAGGGGAAAATATTGTACCAGCTCATAGGAGTATTATGGGAACGGAAGAGAATATGCCTGCAAGATACAGCACAACACCTTGTGTATATGGAGCTCTCAGTGTGTCAGTTCATGTATTAGCCACTAGCAATGACCGAAGACAAAGAAATCTACAAACAGCTTGATGTCCCATTTCCCCAGGCATTAGAAAGACAAGCCACACTAATGAACAAAGCCCATTGTTGAAATAATTCAGAGTCCATCACGACACCTTCTAATTTACAGACATCTCATACCCAGGCCAGCATTTCCTGGGTGAAGATGACTCCAGGGAAGTAACGGATTGATTTAAAATATCATTCGGTCTATTCTGCAACATCCAGGCATTCTGGTTTTTCTACTTGAAGCCAGGGAAGTTCAAAAGTTAGATTGATCCAGAGTTAAAAGCTGCTATCACATGACATAAAGGCAGAGATAAAAAAAACAACAACAACTTACCACTTTCTTTTTTCAGGCAAGGCTTTGTACTGTCCTCTACAAGAAATAAGAGCAAATATTAGTGAATTGTTTATATCCATTATTTAGCAGTGTGTGTCTCTGTGTGGGTCTGTGGATAGACTCTGACTGACAGAATCTGCCAAAAGAGAAGGGATGTTAAAAATAAGAGCCTTACAAATCCAAGAATAGATGGTCTGATTCGATGTAAGTACATGTAATGCATAGATTGCTTTCTGTATATGAGGGTGTTGAAGTTCATGAAGGGCACATTCTTCTCCTTTATCACAACTGGAGGGTGTAACCCAAGACCATCTTGTTTTCCTTCTGTATTCGTAGCTCCCAGCGCAGTGTCTGCCCCAAAGTAAGTGTTCAAAAAATACTTGTGAAAAAGATCAGTAGTCAGAAAAAGTGACTGCTGAAACAGTCTTCAGCATTCACTGCCAAGATGAAGAGCTGCTACCAAAATGAATTTGTCCAATCCCAGAATCCACAACAGAATCTCATGTGTGAAGTTTGGCTTCGGTAAATTTCCCATGTAGTCAAATTAAAGCAGCCAGACCTTTCCAAATCACACACATCCCCCAAATCCCCAACTCGTGTACGTGGTTTTCTGCAGTTGTGGAGTTTGTGGACGTAAAGGTAATGATATAAATGAGGCCAGTAGCTAGTGAATAATTACTTCTGTGCCAGGCACTGGCTTAAATACTTCATATGCATATTACCTTCATATTACCTCCTTAAACTCCCCAGTGACACTGGAGTGACTTGTATTTGGGGGAACTCCGTGCTACCAAAGAGGAATAAGGATTAGAGGGTAATCAGTTTACCAGGAGTCATACCAGTGATGGCAGAGTGCCTTCAGAGGATCATTGTGGTGAATTAAATGAGACAGAGCACATGGAAAGGACTTTGTAAAAATAATCCATAGAAATACAGAGAAAATAATCTATAGAGAGACAACATAATTCTACCAGTGTGAACACTAAAAACTTCTTTTCCAGATATCTTAATTATGCTAAATAAATAAATTTTTTATTACAAGAGCTCAGCATTTGAGTGTAATTCTCTCCAGGATAGAAGGATGGGCCAAATCACATTCACAGTGCTCTGACAACATAAAACTTGTGGTGAGAGTTGAATTTATCTATAATGAAAGATAAAAGCAAACATTCATACAAGAACAGAATTTCTTAAAATCTGAATCCCTGATTTTAACTGACATCTTTTCTAACGCCAATGTTTGTTGGTTCTAAAATGTATAGTCAGCAAGTTTCAGCTTCATGCTCACATTTTTCAGAAAAAGTTTTAGTTCATAAAGAAAATGATCAAAATGTAAAATCAATTAAATATAGTTAGAAATGTCATAAATTTGATATTCTTATTTAAAAATGCAATAAATATATTTAATTTATAAAAGAAAAATGATAAGAAAAAAACTTAAATCAATATCAACAAAGTATACGGCTGGAGAAATATATAGTACCTTACCATTATTATCAATAAAAACTATTTGTACTGAAAAATAGACTGTGGAAAGAGGAAGACAGAGACGCAATGATTAATTTTGGTTTATCCTTATTTTTCCTTGATCACTAGAAAAATCAAAACCTAACAGGACATTGAAGCCCGAGATTATATTAAACTTACGCTTTACATATTTGCTTCCTTACCCTCTGTTTCTTAGCTGTAGAAATAGAAAATAATGGTTGTTCTTAACAGATGACTGGATATATATATATGTATATACACACACACACACACACACACACATATACAAACAATGGAATACCACTCAACCATAAAAAAGAATGAAATAATGCTATTTGCAGCAACATGGATGGACCTAGAGACTGTCACTCCAAGTGAAGTAAGCCAGAAAGAGAAATGCCATATGATATCACTTACATGTGATATCTGAAAAAAAAAAGGACACAAATGAACTACTTATGATTTATAACTTAGATGATTGATTTTCTGAATATGTGTAAGCACATCTTACATGTGTTTTATGATTGGATTATTGCATTCTGTTGATTCTTATTTCGTGGTTGGCTTTATTCCTTTAATAACTACGTAAGTTGAAAAAGCTAAAGCTCTAAGCTGTTTTTAGAAACAATGAACAGTACATATATGTAAAAAAATTTATTTTATGTTGTTGTTTACTTTGTGCCCATTTGAACTGATATATTTACTCAGTTGGTATAGAGTACTGTATTTTGTATTAAACTCACTTTTTGGCACTAACATTTTATAAAATACAATCTCATCATTTGCTTTTACAATGAAAAAAAAGAAAATTACAGTTGTTTTTGTAACCTTACTCTGGTTAGCTTTAGAAAAGGATATAAATAAATACAATGAATATATGAATAAATACACTGGTGTTCATTTTCAAAAAACAAGTGTTTTCGCTGATACAATTTCATGTGCTGTCCATCACAGCCCCAGGAGAAAGGCAAGGGTAAGTGTTCGAATGTAATTTGATCATTAGACACATTAAGGATCTGAGAAGATAAAGACCTGCTTCAGAAATTCGGACTGGTTCACAGCAACGTCTCTGCACATTTTGTTACGTGCTTGGTTCCTACTGATTAAAAGGGGCTTCTTAACCACAGGGCAAAGCACAAAATGATTCCTTCTTATGGGCACTCTGGGACCTTTGGTCTATTAGGTTAATATTCAGGACTTTAAGTCCCGAGTCCAGGGAGTTACAAGTCACCACTGCCAGTGCCAAGGCACGTGCAGCCCTCTGCCCACGCGGAGCAGGTACTCACAGCATCTGCCTCAAAGGGACTCCTCCGGGACATCAGGCCTGAATGACCAGTGACCCTGAGCGATTAGGAACCGAGTATAATCCCTCTACTGTAGTTCATTGTGTTTGGGACAGTAATTCACCCGAGTGTGCTCATCTGCATCCCTTCCAGGCTGGCACGTGCTAGGGCCACAATAGAAGTCTGTAAGAGGCACTTAGCGATGGCAAGAAACACACTCATATGTAGAATGGAAGTATGTCTGCACACGTTAACATCAGCCAATCTTTAATTATGAAATTTGAACTTAAGTCGGTGTATCAACTACAAATCACAAACACCTAAGACCATAATAAAACCACAGCAAGTAAATTCTTTTCCTCTCTCTTGAACCGTGATCTGGCTTTTCCAGATGAAGACCGTTTTGTCATTTAATAACTCGTTGCTGGGTTATACTTCGAGTAAAGCAAGACTGAAGTGAGAGTGACTTTGCTTGCTTAGTAGAACCTTCCTGAACGATGTATGATTGTTCTTATTTCCTGACCAAGTAAGATCATCAACAGTGGAATCTTTTTTGTGCATTTATTGTGTGCTAAATTGATAGGTACTTTGATGTGTGTTGTTTCACAGAATCTATACACCAACCTTAAAATACATTCATTGTGACCTTTGTAGTTTGGATGGTAAAACTGAGCTGAAAAGGTTCAGTAATATTTTTTCCTTTTTTATGTTTCAGTGCTAATACAATTTTAATTTTATGGGGCAATGGGACATTTAAACCACCATTCAATGTAAAAACATTTCAGAACAATTTATATTTGTTTTTCATTAATGCTCGATTGAAAAGGTGGGGTATTTTCTTTGGAAAAAACAGAATTCTAGGAGGTTCTGTTTATATTTATAATCACGTACCTTGGTTAATTGGAGGAAAATGAATCTCTTGATCAATTCCGCCTTTGTTATTCTCATGTTTGACCACACATATGTGTTCTGTATCCATTGACTTTTCAGGCACGGTCAGCCAGCTGAATTTCATGTATGTATCATTCGTCATGATGGTGTTTCCCTGCTGGGATTCCAGAACTGTATTGCTGTCCTTTGCTTTCCAATGTACCTTAATAGCATCGGGGAAAAAATTTTCCAGAAGACAAAGATGTGTTCCAGCCTTATCGAGGTTTATTTCAGCAATCGAAGGGAAAAATATAGTGGGCTTGGGGGCCATGTCTGCATCAAGCTTTCTGTCTGTGGGGGCAAATGGAATAGAATCGAAAAGAATTAGGAGAGAAACATAAACATTGTGGAACAACCTAGCAAATAGTCAAAGGAAGGAAAGTTGAGCTGCCATTGAATTAGTTCACACCGTGGTCTTTCTGCCACAGTAGATGGTGAGGTGCTTACTGTTCTCATTTGCAATGGGAAGCGATGTCCAAGAGGTTACACAACTCGTCT